GATAGATCATTAATTCTATGATAGAATTAATTACAAACTTATAACGTTGCGCGCCTCTAACTTGCACGCAACCAAGAGGTGACTGTGAAAGCTTGTATAAACCACAGAGTCTTATAAAGGGTTTAAGTCCCTTTTTATTCAACGTAATAAATTACAATGGCGTCCTCTTGACGCTTACAGACTGTGCCCACTAGGCAGTCAAATAAAAATAATAACCTGAAAAAGAAAGTAAAGACAAGATTCTAACTACGAGGCTCTCTAAAATAACTAACTCACCGCGTTTTTACAAATACCGCAGCTAATTCAGCAGACTTGAAGCTCACTGGAACAATTGCAACTACTTCCCGCCAAGCACATAGGCCGCAAACGCGGGGTTCTTCAATTCTCGATAACTACCTCCGCGCTCGCTAAGTAAGAATAACTCTCTCACCGAACTCGTTTCCTTCTATTTAAACCATAATACTTCCGCTGATAATTTGAATCCTTGCGCGTTCTACTCAAATTTACATATTCTGGCATTGGCAGTTCCAGGGGAAAGTAAGGCTTGACAGGAAAGATAGTTTAAACTTAAAATAAATGTTAGTTAAAATAAATATAAACCCTACAAACTAAATTCGTTTGTAAACTGTAACGTTTACAGAGACTGGAGCATAAAAAGTTCCCTTTGTTATCATAAAAGACCTTCACCTATTAATAATAATCCTAACAATCTTGTCGTCGTAACATTTTATCTCTCTTTTAGTTACAAATTGTCGAATTCTTCAAAAATACAATTTTCAGGTTATTTTTTCAAACTTTAGCAAAATTCTTCCTGAAACATCCGCATCTCTGATTTTAATTTTGTGGAAATTTAGCTTAATGTAATTTGCCATGTCAATGTGGTTTGACTTAATCGATCAGTCTGAAACAGCGTTGAAACGTCTCGTCAAAAAACATGAATCATCCGGACGCTTTATTTAATAGCCATTATCCTCGCTCTGCTACAGGGCCGGGGAGCTGTAGCCATTTCATTATAGAAGCAGTAGCCGCTGTTGCATCCTATGAAGGGGAAGGACAGTTACAACCATGCCTTCTCCGAGATTTGAACCCAGGCCCATCGCTACGGCAGTCATGATCACTAACCAGTATACTGGCTGGGCGGCTATGAATCGTACGGTCGAAAAGAAAAAAGAAAAAGAATTTTGTTAGCCAATCACAATTGCGCACTTAATCGTAATTTTTACTTTCGATCTACAAACATTCTCCGTAAAGCTTCAATTAGTAAATTAGATTATTAATTTAAATCAAGTTTTCCTTCTTCAATCAATGATATTAATTTTTCAAAACTTTCGGATTTCCAATACCTTAATTTTTTCACGTTCACTATCATTGACCTCGACGCTTTCCTTCACTCATTTCTTTCTATTTAAAATCGTTTCGCTTCTATGCCTGATAGCTTTTGAAGTTGATTTCAAAATCTTTGCCAAAATAAGGTTGTAAAGACATTAGGTTATTTAGAAACTGGAGACTTGAAAAATGGGCAATGCTCTCGCCAGGGCACGAAACACGGACCTCTCGAATACGCGCCAAGCGTGCTAACCACTACACCCCAAAGGCATGCTAAGAAGGTGGGAGAAATACCTTATCTACTATCCCTTTTAAAGGACAACTGGGGATTAGAGAAATCGCTAATTCCTGGTGGGGAATCATCATCCACCACCCTTTTTGGTTCTGACGCCATTGTAGAGATATTAGGTTATTTGGAAGCAGGAGACTTGAAAAATGAGCAATGCCCTCGCCGGGACTCGAACCACGCACATCTCGAATACGCACCGAGCGTGCTGACCATTACGCCATGAAGGTATGCTAAGAAGGCGGAAGAAATACCTTATAAGGTTGCTTTCTGTCTAATTTTTGTGTGGTTTATCCTAACCGATTGACAGTAACATCATATCAAGTCCCTGATATCAGAGCAAGCGCACGAAATTTATCGTGGCAAGGGGTCACGATTGCGCCTGTCGTTGGCAGCAGCCTTGAGGATCAAATAGGGTGACAGTAAAATTTTGCTTACTTCCGCCCCCAATTGTGAAGAAGAGCACCCAGAGGGACAGATCCGAGGGCCTGGGGGATGGGTCCATCCCTCTTTCCCTACCACCAACCTCTCGAGAGGACGTTCGTTTTGTCACATATTTGGAGCGCCACCATGCCGCCGCAAAGACACTACGCCTTTACAAACATCCATGTCTTCTCTCGGGCCCACTAGCGGCCGAGCGGTAAAGTCGCTGAAGACTGGTAGTTCGGTCCGAGGTTCGAATCCCGTGAACGGGCTGGCTGCATGAGTGTTTTCGTGGTTTTCCCCATGTGTAACGTGTATACGAGCCGGTTTCCCTTAGAAAGCCCTCCACGAAGGCATCCCTCCCCTTGGGCAGATAGTCCTCGAGGCTTTTCCGTAATTAAATAACCTAACCTAACCTTCTCTTGGACTTCAATCCGGGCCCATCGGTACGGCAGTCAGCGTCGCTAACCACTATCCTGGTTGGTCTAATTTCAGTCGAAATCTCTCTAAATTTTAAAATCTATAGACGTTTTAGAATTAAATAAAGGTAAAAGTGTGGTTCTTCTCCATAAACCTCTTCTTTGTTTAGCCTAGTTTTTGTTAGATAAATATGGACGAACTTTACTAAAATATTGTCGCTTGGCCTTTTTATCTACATCTACGCTTCATCAGCTAAATATGTTGTCGATTTAATGTCTTGTACGTTAATTGTCCTATCGGCTAAATGTCTATGTCATCTAAATATCCTGTCGGCTAAATGTCCGATTCGGCTAAATATCCATGTCAGCTAAATTTCCTGTCGCCTAACTGTCCGTGACGGCTTTAAATGTACGGTTAGTGAATGTCCTGTAGGCTAACTGCTATTTTGTAAGTGGCTTTGTCTTTTAAGTGTCTTGTATGGATTTGGTATGCGGTTCCAAAACTCATCTAATTCTGGGATCAACTAAAATTTTGTATCGCTTACTTTTACTGATTTTTATCTTTTAGTGATCCCAAATGACTGAAACTTTTTAAATAGGTACTTATTTGTCCGCGAAGATTTAATAACTGATATTATGTTATTAAAAGCTGAATCAATAAATTGATTTGTCACATAATACTCTTACTTCCGCAATTTTCAAATGAATTATTTTCTATATTTTACTGATCAAAATTTGTTTCCAGTATCGTGAATTACACAATTTGTTATTTTTTCATCTCCATGGAAGCAAGAAAAGAATTTGTACATGAGGCTATTTTCATGGATAACATTGCTGCTGCTGATTTAGCAATTAACTAATATAGCTCATAAGTACTAATATAGCTCTAACTACACTCATGTCCATAAATTAAGGATAATGCAAAATCAGGCAAAGGAAGAGTTAGAAGCAAAACAAATCTGACTTATTTGTAAAGCTGATTTACTAAACAAAAGGTAAAGAGCAAAAAAAAGATGCTATATGTTTGATATTATTTAAAAAATTAGCGATTTTTTCTCCCTGGAGCAAATTACAAAAAAAAAAACTATTTACAAAAAAACAATATTACATGGTTGGTATGATTGTTAATACATTGTATGTCTCCCAGACGATTCAATACAGTCCGTACAACGTCTAGGCATGCTGAGTATCAAATTATCGATCTGATCTTGGGGGATATTACACCACTCAAAAAGCAATTCTCTCCGAAGTTCTGGTAGACATGTAGGAGGAAGTTGACGGGCTGCAACTCGTCGGCCAAGCATGTCCAACACGTGCTCTACTGGATTCCAGTCCGGTGAGAATGCTGGCCAGTCCATATTCCTCCGATATCTCGGTGATATCGGACCGGTGATATCCTCCGACCGGTGATATCCTCCGATTGAAGGCATTCGCTTACGATGCTTGCACAGTGAGGATGGGCGTTGTCATCCATAAACAAAAATTTTGCGCCCATGGCGCCCCGAAACAAACGTACATGTTGTTCCAGAATGACGTCCCGATAGATTTGGCTTGTCATGGTTCCAATTTGAACATGCAGGTCAGTTCTGGAACCCAGAATAATTCCACCCCAAACGAGCACTCCTGCACCACCGTAACGGTGTCGTTCAATGATGTTTTCTTGGTGGTAACGGGTACCTGGAGCTCTCCATATGAAAGTCCGACGAGAATCAGACTGCAAGCTAAACCTGGACTCGTCGGAAAACATCACACAAGCCCACTGTTGCGGTGTCCACAATGCATGCTCTCTACTCCAGGCTAACCGCAGGCGACAGTGAGTTGCAGTAAGTGGAACGCATCTGACAGGTTTACGAGCATATAGACCAATCTGACCTAAGCGTCTGTACAGGTCTGCCTTGAAATTGTCGTACCAGTGGCTAAAGAGAGCGGACGTGACAGGTCTGAGGCTGGGCTCCGCCTCTTTCTTTTGGCAGCAACTGCCAAATACCGGTCCTCATTCGGCGTTGTAACTCTGGGGCGACCTGTGCTGTAACGTCTATTACCATCATCTTGAAATCATTGCCAAAGCCTGGAGATGACACTCTGGGCAATTCCAAATTCGTCTGATACTTCCAGTTGGGTACGCCTACATTCCAGACGGCCGATAATTCTACCACGTAAAAAATCATCCAAATGCGTCCTTTGTGTCATAACTATTCGGTTATTGCACTGAAATGCATATAAAGCGCCTGCGAACAATTTTACTTCTTTGTCTGTATTCCTTATAAATCACTCTCTTACACCCTCGTCATTGTGACGTACCATCGGTGTCATCTGGTTACTTCCTGAAATTTGCATATGAATCTTGAAGATGTGCGTAGTGATTTTACAGGTGATATATTTATTTTAGAGTTCGATTTCCGCGTGACTCCGAATTATCCTTAATTTATGGACATGAGAGTAATATAGCTTATGAGTTAGAAGTACTTTTTCATGATGTTCTGATTTGTACACAATTAACTGTGAAATTTGAATTCCATTCTAAAGTCTTCATTATCTCATTACAGCAAGTCGAAGAAAAGCATCCAAATGGACTCTTCCATGAAGCCAGGTCTGCGTTCATCCGTTGCTCTAGGAAAAGCTAAAGGAACACCTTTTCCCACAAAGAAAGGTCAAGGGCGTCGGTCAAATCGCCACCGATCTACCAGTTCCTATCAGTTACCTAGTTCTTCGTTGAATTTGAAACGTATTTTTGAAACCAGTACATCAGCTTCTGTAACTACCCAGAGATCGCGTCGCTTCAACGACTTATGGGTGAGACTGGATACTTATGGAAGAAAGTAAGATTGCTTGTTATTTAGTACCTCAATTTCTCATAAACGTCACTGTAGGCATGAGCTTTATATGTTTCAGAATTTACTGTATATGCGCATGCTCAGCCTGATACTGATACTTCTTGTACAGGACGTTTCAGCGGAGCGGTTACAAACTTTCAGAACAAATAGAGTATACCCAGATGATGGAAAATCACGTAAGAAAATACAGGCGCATGCGTACCATGCGCAGGCGGGCACCCTCCCGCTTCACCACTACTTATATTTCAAAAAATGTGCTAAATAATTTTCAATAGATAATACTTGAGGTTTTAAAATATTGCTTTCCAGCTGCCCAAAAAATCCATGTGATTAACAAGGAATGATCGGAATGTCTACGATTTTCCATTTAGGTGCAACATCAGGCGAAGACATCCTTCCTCAGCAGACAAGCGGCGGGAAAATACTTCGAGGGTTAGGTGACACTTTCAAGTCGTAAAGCTGTAGAGACATTAGATATTTTTTGGAAGCGGGCAATAGGAAAAATATACAACGCTTTCGCCGGGAATCGAACCGAGGACCTCTGGAATACGCGCCCAGCGTGCAGATCACCACACCTTCTTGGCATGCCTTCTTGGTATGGTGGCCTGCACGCTGGGCGCGTATTCCAGACGTCCGCGGTTCGATTCGCGGCGAAAGCGTTGCTAATTTTTCATCTGGCCTGCTTCCAAAAAAATTCCTAATAATACTAGCCATTTATAGTGTTTCAACGCAATTCAAGTTTCAACGCAAAAAACGGAAACAATAGCCCCTCAGGGACAAAGCAACTTTGGACTAAAAATGCATGTCATGACTTTTCGATATTAATCTAGCTAGAAAACGTTAATAAGAGTCATTTACATAAATTGCATTATCATTGAACGCATCCGAGAGATTTCACTGGTATGCCACAAAACAAACACATGTACAAATTATTGATTTCGAAAAAGCATTTGTGTTCGTCGAAACTTTCTGTACGAAATATTCTAAATGATATCGCAGAGAAATCATTTTCCAGATTCTTATGATAAGCAGTTGACAAGATTGAAATGAGCCTGCCACAAACAGAACCCATTATTTTAAAGCTATATATTCCATATTGCAATCATTTTTCTCATTTATTTCAGCTAACTCATTTCCTGCATTATTATTTCTCATTCATTTGTACAAAGTCATTTTCTTGCATTATCCTTTATTTTTGTTTCTTCGACAGTGACGTTTCATATTGTTACGAAATGTACAGGCGCGATAAGATGGCTTCCCCGCAAAGCAGTTTTAGGGTTGCCGTAAAATGGAAAGGGACGACATGGTTGCCACATTTGGCGAGAAATCGCCCATTCGGCAACATTTAGCTACAAAATTGGCGATATGCCATGGACGGATGGAGAACCTTCTGGAACGAATTCTTATCGGTTTTGCACAGAATGTTCCCGAACACAAGCCCTGCTGGTACGCGGAGAGTCAGTGCGAGATAGTTAGTCTCGAGTATGTCAGCCCGTGCGGAGTCGATCGAGTTGACAGCCGGGCAGCGAATGCCGAGTGGGTCGTCGAGTGCAGCGAAGAGTCGGTGTGTTCTGTGTGTCGTCGAGTGCATCGAGAGTTGTAGCGTGGAGAGTCTCGTGAGTACGTGGAGTTCCGAGAAAGACCAAGCAGACTCGGGAGCTGTACTCTGGTACTTTGCAGCGAAGCTGTCTCCACCGTTATTGCCTGACAGTGTGAAGGCTGTGTCGCTGATTGTTCCAGCGAGTGTATAGTAGATCTTCGATGACTCTAAAACGTGACTTTGGAGCTGTCCTAATTAATATTGGGTAAATAAAGTGTGTTTCGATACTTCATCAAGAAGTGTTGTTCTGCACGAACCCCGAACGAATGAAGTGAAGGAAGAAAATAACGTAACAATATTTTTTCGAGCACGAGATGTGTACAGCGTTTGCGTAAATGTTCTGCTCTGTGTTTATTGTACCTTATTTAAGTTAACATTTTCTGTTATCTTCTACTTATTTTATTAAATTAATAGTTACAGCTGAGTTGCCGTACCGCCTGTAATATGACTATCAGCATTTGTACTCAATTGGTGGAGCAGGCTTAGGTCGCTAGGCCTAGCCAAAAATCTCTATAAAATATTAAAATTTGTTAGCGGAATTTATAAAATTACTTCGAAAATGGGTATTTGTGACCAGTGGTTATTAAAAAGACTCTGTCAAGACTTTGCTGAATGATTTTTTTTTTTTTTTTAAAGAGTTATTTCAGCCATACCTGGGCATTTTCAGCTGTATACAGCCGGAAATGTAGGTTTTGGGTGATTAAATTGATACTATTAGAACTGGCAGATCAGCTCACGGAGAAGATAGGAATAACTAATAACTAACCATAATTCGGGAAATTTAACTTCTTCCTAACTATGGAGGCCAACAATCGGCCGAGCGGTAAAATCTCTGAGCATTGGTAGTTCGACCTCAGATCGAACCCCGCCAAACGGGCTGGCTTTGTTTTCCTGGTTTTCTCTCTCTTTAAAGTGGATAAAGACCAGTTTCTCTTAAAATGTGTTCCCCGAAAGCAATGCTCCTTTAGGCAGACAGCTCTCGAGTTGCTTTGATTTAACCTAATTATGAGTATCAGAATTAATGAATAAACCTAAAGAGTAAACATTTGTTTGAAAATTAATTTTACGTAAGACACAATAAAACTGCTTTTAGTACATGATAAATTAGTTTTTCATATTCAGAAATGAGATTAGCTGTCTATGATTATAGTACTGTCGTTTGAAAAAGTTTTTATAAAAATTTCTCATTTTTTTCCCCTTATTTTCCCTTAAAGTCTCGTTTACGAAAATGGAAAAATAACTCATTTTGAAATGGAAATGGCTCGCTTATGAAATGGAAGTAGTCTGCTTTTGTACGCATTATTTCCTCATAGTGATTTTTTAATCAGTTGAATAAAATAAATCTCAAAATTTTAATTTTAACGTTTGTAGCTCCACTTAAATCGCACAAAGAAAATAAAATGTGTCTGCGACTACCGAAAGTTCATTAATGTTTTAATTTTAAACTATTGGGTCTTCAGACGGGGGCAAACTATTACATTCAATTGAAAAATAAAGTTTTCGTAAAAACTATTTTTTTAATTGTATTATTAATTTAGCTTAAATTTGAAAATACAGATTGTTCTTTTTATATTTTTTTTAATTCATCATATTAAAAATAATTTAAAATTTAATTTTTATAATATTTAAAAGTCATAAGTTCTATTCTTTAATAAAATAATCTACTTCGTATTACTCTTGATTTCAGTTGTTCAGTCTCTCATAGATGAAAATGAGTATAAACAAAGGAAATTACTGAAAAATTCACCATTTATCAAACATTTATGGACTGTGAACAAACTTGAAATAAAAAAATTAATAGAAACTAATACCATAGTTTCAAACAAAATTGATGAAAATTTGCTCACTATAATCAATTACTTCTATGTTTATATTGTAATGTAGAAAATAAATTGCTTTATAATTTATTAACTACTTTAAATTTATGTAATAAAATTTTAAAATCAATTACTTAGATGGGTTTTAAAACATGAATTGATTTAGTAGCATAAATGTTTAATAATGAGTTAAAAGCTTACAAACTCAAGGAAAAAAATCTGATGTGTACACCACGTGATTTCCTTTTACGGAATATTAAATTATACATGTTTTTTCTTGCATTTCATTTAAACTTATTGGATTGAATTCAATTTACTTCGTCGATAGCGCATAAACAACAATAGAATAAATGCACTCTTTAAAATTCACTATATTTTTTTACCACAGCGACACTTTGGCGCTAGGTTTACTTAACAGCCTTATATTTCGTTCATTTTATAACTCAGAATGCACAAAATTTATATCATTTGAAGAATCATCGAATCGTTGCTACATGTTCCATTCAAACACTATAATAAATCTAGAACGATATATAAAAGAAACTAAGCAAACAAAACAAAAGATAAACAGTTTTTAACAGACGATTCAGTATTTCTCATTCAATTAAATCAGTTCTCACTTCGAGACAAAGCAAAAATACATAAAATCTCAAAATATCTGTATTAAAAATTACGAAGTAAATCTTAAATACTTATTTCCTCGAAAAAATTCCAGATAGGATTAAGCATGATTTATGCGAAGCTCAGTCTCTCTAGATTGGCAACAAATCTACTATTCTGCTGTTTCAAATGTAAATAAACATTTCCGCCATATTATTTAAAAACTAGGCTTAACCGCTTTTAAACAGCTTTTAAATTGTTGATAATTCTACAAATATAGCTTTCAGATTTCCTAAAGGCATAAAAACCTTAACCGGACGATAAGAACAATTCAATCATTTTTACTGGTAGTTCGGTCCGAGGTTCGAATCCCGCGAACGGGCTGGCTGCATGGGCATCGTAACATGTATACGAGCCAGTTTCCCTTAGAAAGTCCTCCACGAAAGCATCCCTCCCCTTAGGCAGATAGCCCTCGAGGCTTTGCCATAATTACACACACAAAATCATTTTTAAAGCAAACAATGCACAATTTACAAACATATATGAGCAAAGAAACTGAGATCACTGAGCCGGGTAACGGTGTGGATATATATATATATATATATATATATATATTTATGTACGTTTGCTGCGGCCGATTGCAACCAAAATACGAGATGCACACCTACATATTATAGCAGTTCTATATACAAAATTTCAACGTTCTGAGGCTACTCGTTTTTGAGTTATACGAGATACATACGCACAGGAACCACGAAAAATTCTCTTCAGAATTCATTTTAAATCAGTTTTATGATTTTTTTGGAGGAAAAGTCCTTTATTCTGTCCTTACGTACAGATGTCACGCAAAAACATCGTTAAATTGCATTCGATAGAGGTCAAAATGGAACTTTTCGCGATTACAATATTTCCTTTTTATTTCGTACAAGAAAGTAAAAAACAAGACTAAATTTCCTTCCAGGAGATCG